ATGTGGCCTTCTAGGTCCTTGGGTGTGGCCTTTTGGCTGAGTCAGAGTTTTACAGAACAAATCCTTTTATTAAGGAGATTTGTTCTGTGAAGTTTGGACTGAGTCAAAGGGCCACACTTGAGGACCTAGAGGACCACATGTGGCCTCGAGGATGCAGGTTCTCCACCCCTGCTCCATTTGCTCTTCATTACCTCCAATAATTGGTTTCCCCCACCTTTCAGGTCTATTTACAACTTATGCCCCACTAAGTACTCTGTGATTCAGCACTACCTCCACGCAGTTCCTCTTGATTTGTGCATTTTCACCATTTTTCCCTCGTCCCCGGAATTCTCTCCCTCCTAATCTATACCTCCTGGATTCTCTGGCTTCCTTCATGACTCAGCTAAAATTGCACCTTCTGCAAGAGGTCCTTCCTAATCTCCCTTAATGCTAATGCTTTCCCTGTCTTGGTTACCTACAATTTATCCTGTACATGGTCTGTTTATATGTAATTGTCTCTCCCATTAGACACTGAGCTTCTTGAGATCAGGGATCAGTTCCCTCCCAACTTTCTTTGTCTCTCTAGGGCTTATCATAGTATCTGGAATCTTGAAGGTGCTTAATAAATGTTTATTGACTGACTGATTCTCTGGATGTCCTCTGGCCCACTAAGAATTTATGCAGGAGTCAAGAACAAGAATATATTTCTCTCATCTTTGAATAGTTCTCTGTCATTAAGATCAAGTTTGGTTGAGAGAATTGTCAGACTGCTATCTCCTTTTTTTCCCCTGGCACCAAATGGTATGTGTGTTCTACTTATTCCAGCATTTCCAACAAGTCTAAGAGCTTAACAAAGCATGCCAACTTCCTTCCATCAACATCGTCCAGCCAACTTCCCTCAGACTAACTGGATGATAATATTCAAATTACTCATAATTGCTTCATCTTAGATTCAGGGTCATGGAAGTTAAGTACCCGTAAGCATTCCTGCACATTACTCAATTTCATAGCCTTGTGGAGGAATATTTTGTATAAGCTACGCTTACTGTACTGGTACAGTAATATCTAGTAAATATCTCTTTCTAAAAAGTTGCTGCAGGCTGGTTGACTAAATTAATTCTCAACTGATAATCTTGAGAGGAAGCACACTGGTGAGGGCTCAAGCCAATAGCTTCATAGACTCAGTACTCATCATTCTCCAGTTATTCCTAGAATCCAGAGAAGGAGACATAGCCAAGCTCTGGGGACCTGCCTTATCAGTGGGAGTGGGAGTGGGGGTGAAAATTGGGATGAGGATACTGAAAGATTATCTGCACTACACCTATATTTTAGTTTGAATTGTATTTTTTTCAACACAACAACAGATCTTTATTAGGCACATAGCATGTATAAGGCACCTGGAGATAAAACAAAAATGAAAAAGAATTAGCCCTGCCCTCAAAAAGAACACATCTATCTGTACACAAATAAGTAAATGCAAAATGTGTTTCCATGATTCTGTAAAAATATGACTAGTAAAAATTAATTTCAAGTAATGAACAACAAGAACAGTAAGGAATCAAGGAAAGTCTCAAGTAGGAGGTTACTGCTGAGATATTATTGGGATGAAGATAAGGATTTTATAGAAAAGCTGTCACACCACCCCCTTCTTTGTAGAGGAGGGAATCTATGGGTAGGGAATGGTCTCCACAAGACTTTCTCAACCATGCCATAGAGACCTCTTCACTCTCGAAGCTGACTCTAGACCACTTACTATATTGTAAGTTAACTTTTCACCCTGTTGTCTCTCTCTCTCTAATTGCCTGGCTCTTACCAGAACCTCCCTTTTAAGGATACAATCCAGATCAACCATGTCTTCATTCCTTTCCAGGCTGCACTAAAGACTCATCTCCCAAGGACCTTCTCTACCATGCTTCCTCGATGGGAACCTTCACTGCCCAACACTCAACACCTTTTTAGTTCCCTTTTATGTGTTGTCTTCTCCTATTAGAATGAATGTTCTTGGAGGGAAGGGACTGTCTTTCCATCTGCTTATATCTGTCTTCCCTTGCATTTAGCACTGTGCCTGATAAATAGTAAGCACTTAATAAATGTTTACTGGCATGACTGGAACACTGAAAATGGTGTCTGATTTTTTTTCAATATATTGGTTGCTTTTAATGACCTTTTTCTCCTCTTTTTTCCTTCTTTTTTGTAAGGGATGGCTCTCTGGGATACACTGAGAAATGTAGGTGCTATAAAACAATAGTAAAATTTTATTTTAAAAACAATTTAAAGAGATAGAGGTGAGAAGAAAATAAAGTCCAGACATTAAATACTGTGTATGGGGAGCAGTTAGCAAGACAGTTAAATGGGAGATTTTTGAGAAGAGGATTGACACAGTCAGGTCAATGTTTAAGAAAGTCATTTTAGCAGCTGTGTGGAGGATATGTACGTGTGTAGCTTATGACTATAAGAAATGAATGCTCAGTAAAGGGTACTGCAGAAAGGGTACTTAAGAAGTGTTTGTTAAATGGACTTGTGTCCTGCCTCTGATGCTTGCTACTTGCGGGCCATGGGCAAACCACTTGCCCTTCATAGGCTAAGTTTCTTCAGCTATGAAATGACAGGGTTGGGCTAGATGGCCTCAGAGGTGCCTTGCAATTCCTGATCTATGATCTTGTGTGAAAGAATAATCGAAAGGAATGAACGATTCAACACTGTTGTAGGTACAACGGGGAATTCAGAAGAATTATGAGATTTAGTCCCACACTTCAAGAAGTTCTAGCTGTGAAATCTTTTGCTAAAGAATTTCAGAGAAGAGTAATATCAATAATGGCTGAGTGGAGTGAGCAGAACCAGGAGAATATTGCACACAGTAAAAGCAGTATTGTAAGGATGATTGACCATGAAAGAATTGGCTACTCTGATCAAGACAATGATCTGAGACAATTCCAGAGGATCCATCATAAAATGCTATCCACCTCCCAAGAGAGAACTGAAAGATTCTGAATGTAGATTGAAGCATACTTTTTTTGATACTCTCTTTATTTTTATTGTCTTATTTTGTTTTTGTTTTCTTTTGCAACATGGTTTTGCTTGACCTCACATGTATAATCAAAATAAATTACTTGCCTTGTCAAGGAGAGGGGAGAGACAGGAAGGAAGGAGATAATTTGGAATTCAAATTTTTTAAGTGGTTGTTAATTTTTTTTTACATGTAATTGGGAAATGTCTAAAGAAATAAAAATAACTAGATAAAAATGGATGAGTGGAATATTCAGTGAAAGCTTCATGGACAAGGTAGGATTTCAGTTAGGCCTTGAAAGATGGGTCAAATTTGGATAGATGGAAGAGCAAAGAGAAATAAGTAACACAAGCAAAGACTCAGGGATCAGAACAAACATAGAGTACTTATAGGATAGTGAGGTAGCAGCCCAAGTGGAATGGAGGGTTTGTATATGAAATAGGAACCCATTTAATGGAAGGCAAGTACTTTTTACATTGAATCAATGAACAAGGTTTCATGGTCTGTTATAATTCTAGGGCCCACTTATTTTCCCTTCTTATTATTTTCAAAACAAAAGGCTTCCCCAACACATGAATTTTACATGTTTTTTAACACTGGATCTTTTTTCAGGCAGTTAATGCCTCCTAAAGAAACACTTTCATGCTTGTAGTAGACAGAGGGCTGAATTCCAAAGCAGGAAGATCTGAGTTCCAATCCTATTTCTGATGCTCACTAGTTGTATTACCCTGGGCAAGTCACTTTACTTCCCTGTTTCAGTTTTCTCATCTACAAAATAGAGGAAATCATACCTACAATATCTTTTTCAAAGGTCACAGTAAGGTAGACAGCTTTGCAAACTTTAAAGCTTTGTAAAAATGTTAGTTATAGTACTGTTAGCTAGTATTATAGTACTACTAATTATTCTTCTTGCAATTATATTATTACTATGTTATTGTAACAATTATTATTCTAAAATCAACTATTATTATTATTATTATTAATCCCTAGGACTTTGCTCTCTCTTACTAGTACAATACATTCTAGGTATATTGTATCATTCCCTAATTTTTGTTTTATTATTTGTTTCATTTAATTTTATAATTCCAGTTTTAAAATACTAGATTATTTTTTTTTTGTGAGGCAATTAGGGTTAAGTGACTTGCCTAGAGTCACCCAGCTAGTGAGTGTTATGTATGTGAGGCTGGATTTGAACTCAGGTCCTCCTGACTTCTGGGCCAATGCTCTATCCACTGCGCCACCTAGCTGCCCCTAGATTTTCTTAAGGTAGAAAGACCTCCACAATCTGGCTGCACTCTACTTTTCCAGACATATTTCCACCTTACCATTAAACTCTCATGGCAGCTTGGTAGAGCAGTGCACACAATGCTGAACTTGAAGTTAGGAAGTTCCAAGTTCAAATCTGGACCCAGATACTTGCTAACTGTGTCACTATGGGCAAATCATTTAACCACTGTGTGCCTCAGTTTCCTTATTTGTAAAATGGGGGAATTAATAGCACTTACTTCCCAGGGGCTGCTGTGAGGATAAAATGAGATGTTTGTAAAGCACTGTGCATATTTTAAAGTGCTATATAAATGCTAGTCGTTACTGTTGTCATTAATGTTATCTCCACATTGCAACTAAACTGTCCCATATGCCATTCTCTGTACATGACACTCCATCTTCCTCCTTGGTGCCTGATACACCTGTCCCCTATTCTCTTCAACTCTACTTTTTATAATTCCTGTTTCCCTTTGAGGCTCAACTAAGGTGCCACCTCTTATGTGAAGAAGCTTTTCCCGATCTGTCCAGTTGTTACTAATCTGCCTGCCTCCTTCCCCCAAATTACTTATTTTTTTATTTTATCTTTACTTCTCTGTTTTGGTTTTTGCTAGCATAATGAAAGTTCCTTGAGGACAGACAGGGACTCCTTCATTTTTGGTTTTGTATCTCCCCATTCTAACAGTGGCACACACACAAAAGGTATTTAATACCACTTAATAAATATTTGCTAAACTGAACTGGAGCATGCCTAGAGTGAGTTTATTTCAGATTCTACATGAGACCCATGCAACAATGCCAATTCATGCTTCCAGTGAGGAATCTCATTAAGAACGGACAAGTCCTGCAGTGATGATTTCACCTTTCTCTCCAAAAGTCCTTCAGTGCTTCTGTGTCTTCAAGAATCAATTTGTCAGTCAATCAACAAGTATTTGCTTCCTGGCACAACTGTGTATCAGGTACTGTTCTAGGCACTGGGGATTCAAACACAAAGAATGAAGCCATGCTTACTTGTAAGCAGCATAACATCAAATCATGGTGTCAACAAGTAAAGTAAAAATATATACAGTAAGAGGTGGGGGAGAAAGAGTGGTGGCCGCAGCAAGGGGACCCCAGCAAGAGATATGAGTCTACCTTGTAGCTGTCCTTGTCCTGTGGATCTGGGGATTCTCGGGAAATAGGTTTCGGAAAGATGAGCCCTGAGAAAGAGAAAATCCAAAGGGTGGATACAAGGAAGAGAAAGATGCAATCAAAGCCAAGAAAAATGAGTTCTTCTCCCAACATCTGTGACACCAAACAGGTGCAGAAAATGCCTGAGGAAAGATATCAGCACTATGAAGTCCAATCCTGCTTGCATCGGTTTTGTGAGGACTGCACAGCTTCCATTTGGGAGCACGGGGATGATTTTCAGATCCTGAGATCACTTCATGGGTGGAGCTCCATTGTCTGGAAGGTCAGACTTACCTCTGGCACGGTCTTCCTGATCTCAGGAGTAATTTCTGACAGTGGGCTTTCCCATGTCCCTCAAATCAACGTCTTTGGAGAAGGACATTTTGTAATGATGGATTCGCAGGCCACAGAGTTTAATGGAGCACTAGACTTCTGTAAAATGTCAGGAGCCCTTTTATTTTCTATTGGAGGGAAGACCATGGCCACAGGTATATTGATGTCTGCTTTTGCAAAAAGTTACCCCAAAGAAGAAAAATGCCTTCAGCAGAAGTTCAAAGACAGAATAGCAGACATCAAACCCACCACAAAATCTCCAGGCCCAGGAGAAACCAAGATACCAAGGAGAAACCAAGATATCTAGAATTTATAACGTTCAATTTTTATCAGAGACTTGAAACTTTATCCTACCTGCTTTTGTAATTTAGACATATCAGCTAAATGGGAGAACATCACTTTTGGTAACGGCAAGAATGTGGCTTGTTACATACCATTGGGCTGGAGCCAGCTCTGGGGGAAAGCAGAGCAGAACTCACAGCCACTTGTTTTAGGCTTCAGAGAGCACATACATTCTTCTCCTTATGACATGTATTTCTCTTTACTAGATAGCTAGGTAGAACAGTGAATAGAGCAGCATGCCTGGAATCAGGAAGACCTGAGTTTACCCTGGGCAAGCCGCTTAACCCCGTTTGCTTCAGTTTCCTTATCTGTAAAATGAACCAGAGAAGGAAATGGTGAACTACTGCAGTATCTTTGCCAAGAAAACCCCAAATGGGGTCACAAAGAGCTAAACATGATGGAAACAACTGAACGGCAATTTCCCTTTACTAAACCAGGAGACCCCATGGAAATACTATTTGCCATCCCACGACTTCACTGTCATTTTCTGTGTTCTTTGAAAGTGCTATACAATTTTAGACCAACCTTACTAATGGTTAGTGTACAACTGGAAAATAATGTGGTCTGGTTTCAGTTTTTATTAGTTTTTCTCTAATTTTTTTTCTTAGTACTATTTTAGTTCTATTCCCCACTGAACAGTGTAAGTTATTGTCAAGTACTATATTCATGAAAAAAATGGTTTTCCTTATTCTGATCTACAGAATTACCTTTTAATTGCATTATTTAACATAAAGCTCCTCATATTAAACTCAAATTTATCACCCTACCCTATGGATACTATATTTCCTTGGATTTTTTTTTTTTGCAAAATGCTAAAAATCACCCAATACAATATGACCCAAAAAATTAAGAATATTAATATCTCTACATAGTATTGGTGAGGGATCACAGTTGAAATGAAAAAACAAACAAACAAAAAACAAATAAAAGAACTGTATACTTACTAGTAATCAGGAAGTTGTTATTGTTCAGTCATTTCGGTAGCGTACGACCCTCCGTGACTCCATTTGAGGTTTTCTTAGCAAAAATGCTGGAATGGCTTACCATTTCTTTCTCCAGCTCATTTTACAGATGAGGAAACTGAGGGAAACTGTTAAGTGACTTTTCCAGTTATACAACTAGTAAGTATCCAAGGCCAGATTTGAACTCGGGAAGAGAACACCTGCCCTGGCACTCTGTCCACTATGGCGTCACCTAGATGGAGTTCTATTCCCTATTCTGACACTAACTTACTGGATAACTTTGAGGACTTCTCTAGGCCTCAGTACAATTCATCTAGAAAATGGGGGAATTGGACTAGATAATCTTTAAGGCCCTTTCCAGCTTTAAGTGATTGATTACCGCACACCATATATGATTTGTTTTCCTTCTCCAGGGATTTTGTTCTGATGTGTATATTCCCCAGGCCAGTGTCATTCTTTTGCATCTTGACTCATTGAAAGTCATAGATTTGAGATTCATCTGTAACCCACATCTTGTTATATTCTATTGACAAGATATCCCAATAATTGACTTTAGCTACTGAAAGAAGTTTAAATAATACTGTCATATTTTTATAAAGACTTCCTCCAATAAGCCTTCCTCCAAAAAGAAATCTTTATGAAGATATTAACCTGAAAATGGTTTTCCTTCATAGGCAACAAATTTTCTTTTCCTTGCAAGGAAGTCATTTCCTCCCTTTGCATTTCAATTTTATCTATGGATTTAAATTGGGCCGTGAAATAGATGAGATGACTGTGGTACCCTCTCAAAAATCTCCACCAACTTAATATTGCTAGTTTTGAATGGATAAATAAATATATGAATGAGTATATATATATATATATATATATATATATATATGTATATATATATATATATATATATGTATATATATATATATAATTATATATATAATATATATATATATATCACATATATACGGCATAAATATGAAGTGAATGAATATACACACATGCATGTGTATGTGCATAGGCACATGTGTGTAGATATGTATGCATGTATGTATGTGTGAATGTACATTCACAATACAAAAAGTATTTAAGAACAAGGAATTTTAGGAGGGAAAAAATAAGCAATTGGGAGAATCAGGAAAGGCTTCATGCAGAAGATGATTGAAACATTTTAAAAGTCTCCATATGGATCATATTGTCTGCTATTTCAAAGAAGTATAACCATCCTATTTTAATGCCATAGACATAAACAAGTTTCTGAAATTTCCCAACTCCAGGGGCCTGAGGTCCTTAGCTTTCATTATGAGGACCTGGGGACATCAAACAATATAAGCCCAGGTAGCTATAGCCTCGAGAAAAGAATAAAATCTTCTGTGCTACATTAATAATTGATTCTCCTGCTATAATGATGCCATTGTCTCTTTAAGGCTAGATTTTAGAATATTCTCATATTGTAGAGTTGTAGAGACTCCCTGGGCACAACTCAGTACTCTTTATGTAGCAGGACCTTGGAATATATAGAATTCCTTGGCTTGATAAAAAAAAAATACATACTTTTTTATAAAGAATGAAAAGTTGGTGAATATGACACATTGGAATATAGATATAGATGCCAACATAGATGTACATACATATAGATATAAGATATACAAATATATGTACACATATATATGTGTTATATATATGCATGAAGTAGAGAGAGAGAGAGAGAGAGAGAGAGAGAGAGAGAGAGAGAGAGAGAGAGGATCCTTTTTATATTAGAGATTGGAATTGGGCCTGTGATTCTATTACCATAGGCAATTCTCAGGTGAGGAAAGTCCTTCTACCAACCGATGTAAGTCAGCAATTTCTCTGCAATTTATAGTCTTAGAGAGTGGTCTGGGGTATTAAGAAGTTAAATGACTAATCCGGAATCACACAGCCATGATGTACCAGAGACAGGCCTTCCTGGCTTCTAGGTTGACTTTCTATGCCACGTCTCTTTCTATATTACAGAAAGAAATAGGGATTGTTGAGTCCATGGCTGAGGGAGTGCATTGATAAATGCCATCGAAAGAGATTTGCTGTCGGGGCACTGGGCCATGACGCCTATGGCATTGAATCTGGCAGGCCCTTATAGCATGAGGCTTGCCTTGCAAATAGCTGCTAAAATGAAAAATTAGTAAGTTGGAATTTACTCTCACTTCCAGTGAGTGTCCTCTTCTTCCATAATAATTCTGCAGTCTCCCATACATAATGTAGTCAGGGAAAATCAAAGAGAGGGACATAAGTAGACAAGATGTGGGAGAGAGAAAGCTAAGAAAGTAAACAAAGGTCCAGCATATCTAATGCCTGCCCCTCTCAGGGCTGGGGGAGTGAGTCTAACTAGAAGAGTCTAATCCACTTGTCAGTCAATCTCAATGGCATCACTGAATTCAATTTATCAAAAATTAATTCAGGATCTAGTATCTATCAGGAACTGTGTTAAGTGGTAGAGATATTAAGACAAAAATATAACTGTACTTGCCCTCAGGAAGCTTACATTCTCCCAGCAGAATTGAAACATAATTAGAAAATTTAATGCAAATATATGCAAAGTAATTTCTGAAGGGAGGAGACAAATTCATTTGGAAGTGCAGTTTGTTAATAGGATGGGGAATGCCAGAGGGTACATCAAATGAGGAAATTAGAATAAAATAGAGACAATGGAGAGGTGCGGTTGGGATTAATAAATAAAGAGCAGAAAAAGGCCAGGGAAGGGTGCTTCCACTTAGGCAGCCTAAGATTCAGAATCATGTGAAAAATGTCTGGACTGGTAAGCAGTAGCAGCATCACATGACTGGAGACCCATCCAGAAAATCTGTAAGAAACATATGAAGTACGTGTACCTTTGACCAGTCTAGGGAAAGACTGCTTTAGGTAATAACATTCTGGAATGATAAAGTTAGAATAACATGGAATGAGGATTGGGACTGGATCTGGGATTTTATTAGTTTAGAGAACTCCTGGAAAAGGAAACTCCTCTCAATCTTAGTTTTTTGTTTTGTTTTGTTTTGTTTATTTATTAGTTTGTAATTTTTTTAAAATTTTGAATTCCAAATTATTTCCCTCCCACTAGCCCCTCCCCTGCCCATTAAGAAGGCAATCAATATGATATCAATTACACATGTGAAGTCATGCAAAACATATTTCCATATTAGCCATGTCTATGACTTCGTCTTAAAGAGAAATTGTAATTTGCATTGCATTTTAAAGTTTAGGTGGTACAGTGGATAGAGCGCCAGGTCTGGAGGGAGGGAGACTCATCTTCCTGACTTCAAATCTGGCATTAGACACTTACTAGCTGTGTGACCTGGGAAATCATTTAACTCTGTTTGCCTCAGTTTTCCTCATCTGGAAAATGAGCTGGAGAAGGACATGGC